CAATGAATAAGGAAGAATGAAGAATTTATGGCTTTGAATTATGGTGTTGGCAAAGAATATTGACTATACCACGGACTGCCAGAAGAAACACAAATCTGTCTCGGAAGAAGTACGGCCAGAATGCTCCTTAGAAGGGAGGATAGTGAGATTTTGTCTCATATATTTTGGACATATTATCAGGAGGCACCAGTCCTGGAGAAGGACATCATGCTTGGTAAAGAAGAAGGTCAGTGAAAAAGAGGAAGACTCTCAATGAGATGGATTGATACAGTGGCTGCAACAATGGGCTCAAGAATAGCAACGATTGTGAGGATGACACAGGACTAGGCAGTGTTTCGTTCTGTTATACATAGGGTCGCTATGAGCGGGAACTGACTCAGTAACACCTAACAATAACAATAACAACTTCATCTTAAAAGATGGTGTTGGAAGCATATGCCTTAGAATGTATAAAATGGAAAGAAATTTAGATATCATCAGCATCTTCATCTGAGGAGAGTGGCATCTAATACTATGAGGGGAATTATCCAGTGACACCCTTAGTTAGTGGGTATATAAATTATGTTCAGCTGCAAATAAGATAAAATTCAAATAATGGTGTTTCCTTCCCCTCCTCCACCCCCCCACCCCCCGCCCCCCAGACTACATAGGTAATCAGTCAGGGCTAGTGCAGTAGTTTATCCATACTGTTAGGGGCCTAAACTTGTCTAATTTTCTGCTCTGCTATCATTAACATCTAGGCCTTGTCTGCCAAGCTGATAGCCTCAAAATTGAAAGACGGCTGCAGTCCATCTTAGACTCACGTTTGCACATAGGGTAGAGAGAGAATGCCATCGCTAAAAAAGAGAAAGGGAACAATTTTTCTGAGACTTTACATTTTTGTGGTTGTTATTTTGTTTTTTTAGAGATATCCTCCTCATAGACATATGCTTACAATTCAGTAGTGTCATATAGCCAATCTTATTTACAAAGAAGTCTGGGATTTTTACTGTATTGGTTGAGTACATTTCTGTCTCTTTAAAACTTGAATTCTATTAATGTTGTTGTTAGTTGCTGTCACCTTGATTCTGACTCATGGTGACCACATGTGTGGAGAATGGAATTACTCCATAGATTTTTCAAGGCTGTGACCTTTCAGAAGCAGACCTCAGTCTTGTCTTCCAAGTGCCTCTGGGTGGGTTTGAACTGCCAACCTTTCAGCTAGGAGTCAAGCACTTAACCATTTGTGCCACCCAGAGACTCCAAGTAATGAAGAGTTGTTATGAGTCGATTTCAAACTCATAGTAGAAGGATGCAGTGATAAGTTGTAGGCAACTTGCAATGCTCATCACAAATATCACTAGAATACCTGTCCTCTGGTTTTCTTTAGATATACCACACTTGCCCATTGCTGGGGTTTAGATAACTCTTCTTTTCCTCACCCTTTACAAACTTGCAGCTAAGGAGTATCAGCACAATCTTGCAACTAAGAGAAGTGATCAAAACAAAACCCACCTGCAATTCACTGGTACTTGTAGCTCTCTGGATCTAACTAAGATGGTTGTTACCAAAGACAGACTTTCCTCACAAGAATACAGCCACCTTTAGCCATCCTTAAGTACTAAGGTAATAAAATGAACAAGAGCAAAATTCCGAAAATGCACACATATATGTATAACACTCACACTGCTGGTTCATTAGAAATAGATTTTTCCATATGCTCAAATACTGTGTTAAGAAAGTCTTCTTGAGTGGTTTTTGGCTTTATGTTATAAATAAACAAAAGTAACATTCATGTTTGGTTATTACTGAAAGACACAGTTTTTTTTTTAAATTTTCTGAAGGGACATGACTATATTTATACACAAATAAATAAGATTTCTTATGGTGCTGGATTTTGCTATATGATTGCTAGCTCCATTACTTGAGGAGAAAATGGCCAATGTATGAAAATTAGTTAATGCAAAGGAGCTTTTATATAGGTGTCCTATGTGCGTTCTTTATCATAATACTCATAACTCTATAGTGATGTAATCTCCATGTACACTGCTGATATGGATTTTGAGGCTGTTTCAGATTCAGATGTCTTTTATTATGAGACTATAAGCTCTTTCAAGTAAGACATGGTGTAGTATTCCTCTTTGTATCTTTAGAACCTCATATAGTTTCTGGCAAATGTCATAGGCTCAATAAATATTTGTTAATATTAGCTAAATATTTTTAAACCCACTGTTAATTTGAATAGTCTAAGTGATTATTATTCCTACTAATACAACTATTAAAAAATGAGTCAGATTGATAATCAAGAGCATTGAAGAAGAGAGGAGAGATATCCAAGTGTCTGTTTCTGCTTCCTGGCTTACGTTCTGAAGGGTGATCATGGGTTGTCTTAGTCATCTAGTGCTGCTATAACAGAAATACCACAAGTGGATGGCTTTAGCAAACAGAAGTTTATTCTCTCACAGTCTGGTAGGCTAGAAGTTCAAATTCAGGGCGCCAACTCCTGGGGAAGGCTTTCTCTTCCTGTCGGCTCTGGGGGAAGGTCCTTGTCATTACCCTTCTCCTGGTCTAGGAGCTTCTCAGTGCAGGAATCCCAGTCAAAAGGGCACGTTCTGCTCCAGCGCTGCTTTCTTGGTGGTATGAGGTCACCGTGTCTCTCTGCTCACTTCTCTCTTATATCTCAAAAGAGATTGGCTTAAGATACAACCAAATCTTGTAGATTGAGTCCTGCCTTATTAAAATAACTGCAGCTAATTCCACCTCATTAACATCATAGAGAGAAGATTTATAAAACATAGGAAAATCACAACAGATGACAAAATGGTAGACAATTACACAATACTGGGAATCATGGCCTAGCTAAGATGACAGATATTTTGGGGGTATACAGTTCAGTCTATGACATGGGGTAAATGCTAAATTTCAGGCCTATGGGTATTTTAAGTGATATAATTTGTGGACCAGTGTCTTTGATATGCCTCTCCTTTAAAGAGATCCTAGGAAAGATAATTTACCATTGTTAGGGCAACTGTGATTTGTAGAACCGGTTATAGTTATCCCTGGGAGTATATGATATGTTGCCAGGGAGCATGGAGTACTGTAGGTTACACATCTTCTTGGAGCATTTCTTTAATAATTTATTGGTCATAGTTCCAAGCGAAAAAAAAAGAAAACACAAATGGTGCGATCGAAGTACGATAACTTGAAAAGGATTTATTTATAAAAATGCTCTTAACCAAGATATGGGTGTAGAGGAGCCACAAAGATAATGCAATAATGAGGAGCTAGTAGCAGGACATTGTTGCCATCTCTGATCCTAAAGATAAAAGGGCAGGAATAGTTATTAGGATACATATGGAGAGAAGGTCTCAAGGATCTGCCCATCTTTTGAGAGGATGATATTAGATGAAGGGATACAGCCAACCTAAGCTGACCTCATAAGAATGATCCAAGAGAATAAACACTCTCACTCTTCTCCCTCCCTTTGTTCTTCCTGGAGCCCCCACCTTGCTAAAGCTAACGGAAGCCCTAGGGCACAAGAGCCTTGGTGATGTGGTTCATAGCTTTTAATGGCACAAAAAAAATTATAGAATAAGTTAAAAATTCTTCTGATTAACTACACAAATAAAGCTTCAGCTAGTACCTTGTACTCTACTCCAGTGCTCCAAGTGGCTGCACATTCTCTGTTCTCTGTTAATAATGACATTCCTGATAAAGAATGGGAGAAGCATGAAAGGGTCAAAATGTAACATGAGGATACACTTGTGATCCTCTGTTGTCTTGTCTGGAGAAGGACATCATGCTTGGTAAAGCAGAAGGTCAGTGAAAAAGAGGAAGACCCTCAACAAGATGGATTGACACAGTAGCTGCAACAATGGGCTCAAACATAACAACGGTTTTGAGGATGGCACAGGACCGGGTAATGTTTCGTTCCATTGTACATAAGGTCATTGTGAGTTGGAACTGACTGGTCAGCACCTAACAACAACAACAAATGATTTACATGATAATTCAAGAAATATTTATTGAGTAGGCATTGATGTACCGGGCACTGTTCTAATAAGCCCCTGGCATACATCAGTGAATAATAAGGCATTTATTAAGACTTTGTTCAATCTCCATAAAAATGTGATTAGTATATATGTTATCCTCTTAGGGTCCTACGCTAAGACTCTGACCCATCACAATTGTATAACGACATGAGCCTTCAGGGAAAGAAAAATAATACTTTAGACGTTTTAATAACGATTATGCTATCCCCATAAAAGACCATGGTGAAAATATTTGGGGCATAAACTACTTTGATGTTTCTTATATCATACCACATATACAGCTATTTATCAGTTCTATTCAAATCAACATGATCATTTTCTGACATTCAACTTGGAAAATGACCTCCTTTCATACAAATTAAAAAATAATGCTCAATGTAATAATAAATTCTGGAAAAACTATCTTTTTTCTTTCTAGATCTTGAATTATTTGCGAAATGTATCTGATAGTTGAGGGAAGGAGGTTTGCTGGTTTTCAATCACATCAGCCAAGGTCATTTGCATTGTGTATTAACATAAGACTTTCAGTCTTTTTCAGAAAATTTGAGAAGGACCAGATAACTTTCCAATATATGACACATTAAATATGTGGAAGGTATTAAAAATAACTGAAATACTCAAGTGAATTGAGTTTGTTTAAAAATTAGGGGTTTCTGATACTTCAACACTTCATCTGAATTAGACAGTCAAAGAGCCTTAGCAGGCAACAATCAATAAGAAGAGATGAAAGTTTTCAATTGTAATTTACCTGAAGCATGAGTATAATATATCCTTTAATATAGTGTAATAACATACTTTGCTGCTTTCATAAGTGCAAGAAAACACTTTTGTTAGATGTGGATTGTGGTGAATATTGCACTCTCCTTAGATGAGATCAAAGATGAAGTATTGAAAAATTGTAACAACAACAATAACTTTAAAATTGTCACAGATCCAAATACTATTAATCATTTCCATATCTTTTAATAGAGGCTCAAAGAACTGAAACAAAGAGAATTTGCTCGAAATGTAGCATCTAAATCCAGAAAAGATGAAAGGAAACAGGAAAAGGCACTTCAACGCCTGCACAAGCTTGCAGAGCTGAGAAAGGAAACTGTGTGGTGAGTATTCAATGAAATGTTGTTTTCTTAAAACATGACAAAGAGAATGAGAGGTAGAAATAAGGGCACAAATCCATTTATATCTGTACCCAGAATAAGGCGCCCACCTTTTCATGGCTTTTTGTGAATTGTAGACTGTAATTTGAATTTGAATTTCATGCAAAAAACCTATTTAATGCATTCTTCAGTAAAAAGCCAAAATTACTATAATTTCAGTTTGTAAAAAATAAATTTCACATTGTGCTCCTATTTAAGCTATATTACTTGAAAGCAATTCAGTTTTTTTTGGTGAAATTCAAAACATTTAATTGAAGAAGAGAGCAAGGCACTGTCTCTTGACCTTTGTTGTATATGGAATTTTAAGAGGAACTTATTTTTTGAATGATAATTTGAAGAACTTTTGTTTGAGATTATCTTTAAGATAAAGAAAAAAGAAGATCAGAAAGACCTTGTAAACTTCACAGGCAGGTCAGAATTAGTTTCACTGTGAATAAACTATAACTAGGTTGGTAGATAGATATTCACAACTCTTAAACTTTGACCTAGTTCTGACAGTGAGCAGCTGTTAGATGTGAACAGTGTTACAATTCAGACCTTAGAATTCAGGCCAGGACAACGTTATAAAAAGACTGCTTTTTATAGTGTCTCCACCTCCTCCCCCCGAATAAATAAAACTTCTCTGATTATAATCTAAAGCAGAGCTACTTTATGCAAGTCTAGTCTATACTCAATAGTGTTAAGACGATATTTTGATATGTCAAAACATTGGAATGTCAAAATTTGGAAAAATAAAAATAAAATTTAAACATATTTGGCATATGGAACTGCTAAAAACAAACAAAACTGCATTTAATACAAGTACAGGAACAGATCTTCAAAAACGCGGCTATTCAGTTGTACCTGCTGGGTATTTTTACTCTGTGTGGTAATAAATGAAAATATTATACAAGTGTAAGTTTATGTTATAGAGAATTGTAGGACCTAAGTTATTTAATACCTTATAAGTAGCCTTTTAAAATGTAAATTCTAATACATAAGGGAATTAGAGTTTATAATAAGAGGTGTAAAAAAACGATATTTCTTACATGAATTACTTTCCATAGTGTATACTGTATATTTCATAATATATTTATTTCCCATAAATTCAGTGCCTCTAAAGATGTGCAAAATAGAAAGTGGTGCTGTTTCTTAGTATCAGATAAGGCAATTGAGCACTCCATAGTGTTAACAATTAGATAAAGAAAATATTAAACTAACAAAATTTTTGACCACTTATAACTTCTAAGAAACTGAATTCTGAGACTGACAGAAAATTCTGCACAGCATGATTATGTTAGGGTAAGGACATAATTTAGAGATTTCTTATATTTATGTGCTGGGCAATATTGTTTTTTTAATCAGAGCTCACTATTTATGGTGTTCCATAATACTAAATACGGAGCCCTGGTGGTGTAGTGGTTAAGAGCTTGGCTGCTAACCCAAAGGCTGGCAGTTCAAACGCACCAGCTGCTCCTTGGAAATCTGTAGGAGAGTTCTACCCTGTCCTATAGGGTCTCTATGAGTCAGAATCAACTCAAAGGCAATGGGTTTGGTTTTTGGTTTTATAATACTAAATATATAGAATTCACATGTTAAGTAAATAGTCTTTTATTCCTATATTTACTGTATATTATGATGTAACTTATAACTTCATTGTAATTTTTGAATATTAAGAATAGCAATTCCAAAATACTCCAAGCTGTCTTCAAGCTAGTATTATCTCTATTTACCTTTGCATCACAGCATCCCGCTTGGCCTATGGTAGACTATCAGTGAATGCTGGTTCAATTGAATTGTTGAACTGAATTCCCAGCCGTTCTGAAGTCACAATTGAGGTTTTTGTTTCTGTTTGGTTTATTTTTTAACTTTCTTTATAGTGTCAATGACGTTAAGTATTTGTGAATTAAAAGCAATTTTATCTTGGAAAATTCTACAACCACTTGATATATCACTGGAAAGGCCATGGGGGTCAAAATCTTGGTAAGGAAGCACTGGTTGAGAGCATAGGAATGAGCTGTGAAAGTAATTTCAAAACAGCATTTCCAAGTTACCTAGAACAATAACCAACATTGAAGAAAACTGTGGTACTGGAGAAGGCAATTAAGCCATATGAAATTAAATGCAGAACTATATATTCTCTTACAAAGATTCAAAAAATTGAAAAGAAAATCTCATAATGACATTTCTAAGATGTAAGTGTTCAGATATTTTTTTCTCAAAGTTATATTATCTAACATGAATTTTGTTTCTTTTTGTAGTGCTCCTGGAAGTGGCCCCATGTTCAAGTCAACAACTGTTACTGTGAGAGAAAATCTTAATGAAATCTCAGGAAAAGTTGTGGGTTCAGTTAACAACCAGGAAGAATTCAAATATACTTTGATGCATAGTGAAGAGAATTCTAAAGATGTTACTGCTGTTGCTGCAGATTCAGAAAGCGCAAATAATTATACAGCAAAAAATAACCAACTTGGGGATCAAGCCCTGGGAATTCACAGACACAAAATTGGCTTTTCTTTTGCATTTCCAAAGAAAGCATCAGTGAAGCTAGAGTCCTCAGCTGCAGCCTTTTCTGAATACAATGATGATGCCTCTGCGGAAAAAGGATTTAGCAGAAAAAGTAGATTTGTCCCTGGTGCTAGTCACCTTCCACTATCTTCACCAACAGATGTGCTTTTGAGTTCTGAGGATGCTAACACTTTTCACCCACCAGAGGGAATGTGCTCTGACAAAGAAGAAAAGCTTCAAACTCAAGAGATGAAAGAAGTCTCTAGTAAAAAAGATACATTATTATTACCTCCATTTTGCCTTCAACTCCCTTTATCTTCTGATTCAGATAATTGCCAAAATTCAGTTCCAATAGCAGATCAGATACCACCAGAAGATGTTATTATTAATGAAGACATATCCATGAGTGGTCACAGGTCTGAGTTGTTGGGAAATAAATCCACAGTTCCTGATATGCCTAACGATTGCTTATCTTTGCAAGCTACCACAGAGGAAAATGTTAAGAACAATGATGCATCAACAATTGAAGCTGAAAGTAAAAATCATGGTCCTGAGATTTTGGCCCCTTCAAATACTGAAGAGGAAAATATAAACTTACATAAAAAAACAGATTCATGTAAAAGACAAGGTGAGCCATTTGTACCTGTACTTAACAAACATGGATCAACAGTTCTTCAGTGGCCATCAGAAATGCTGATTTATACAACTACTGAACCATCAGTCTCCTACAGTTGCAATCCCCTCTGTTTTGATTTCAAGTCCACTAAATTAAGCAACAATCTAGATAAAAATAAACTGCCCTTAAATGATCTTTCCTCTCAGCAGAAGGGAGAAGAGATTTGCAAGGAATCAGTTTCAGAGTGCAAGGACACATCTGTCACAGGAGTCACTGATTATGAAATTGTAGGTAGTAGAAGAGAATATACCCAAGTCACTCCTATTTTAGCTGATGAAACTGTCTCCAAGAGTTATGATTCTGGAAGAAATGGGAATATGGGTCTGAGATTTAAAAATATTTCCTGTAGAATCAGAAACACAGAAAAATGTAATTCCACTGAAAAGCAAATAAAACAAGACACTCTAGATGAGAAATACAACAAAATAAGGTTGAAAGATACTCATGAACACTGGTTCCATAAAAGTAGAAGAAAAAAAAGAAAAAGAAAGTTATGTCATCATCATGGGGAGAAAACCAAAGAATTAGAATCTCGTTTTGAAATGGAAATGGAGAATAATTACACTGATAAAACTAGGACAAATCTACTGGAAACAATTTCAGAAAAACAGTATTTAGATGCAGAGCAATTATCAGAATCACATCACTTACCTGATAAAAGGCCAAAGTCAGCATCCGTATACCTAAGTGAAAATGAAGAAATGTGTAAAACTTGGAACACCAAATACAATAATACTGATGCTATCAGTTCTAAAAACAACTATAGAAGGAACACAATTGCTTTAAATGGACAATCAAATCCAACCATGGTACATTCTGGGAAACATAATTTAACATATTCCAGAACTTTCAATAGTTGGAAAGCCAAAAAGTTGAGCTGTAGCCAGGATCACAAATGCTTAGTTCTTCAAAATGATGTGAAATGCATGAGTCAGAATCAGGCTGTTAAAAGAGGTTGTAATTCTCTTGAATCAGAAAGATTCCATCGAAAACGTAGACAGCATTCATATTCTTCAGATGAAAGTTTAAATCAGAATTACTTGCCAGAGGAAATTTTGAGGCCATCAAGTACTTCAGTTGCTCCGTCTAATTCTAAAAAGAAACGGAGGAGGAAAAGAAGCAGATTCCACACTAGATTTGAAGCTTTGGATCTTAAAGAGGATACAAATTATCTCATGAAAGACAATTCTTCATTAAGTAATCTAGATGAGTTAATAAATGAAGACAAAAAAGAGGAAATAAAACCACAAGAAGTTACAAATATTGAAAGTAACTCAGAAAAAACAGACCAAGTAGAAAACAACCTAACTTTGGACTCTAGCAATCTTCTTCCTTCTGAAACCAATGGTGAAACTGAACATTTGGTTATGGAGACCACTTCTGCTGAATTTTCAGAGGTTTCCAGTGATCCCACCACATCTCTCTATGTTGCTAGTGTTCCAACAAAAGTAGCAATTGAAAATACCTTGCTTGAACATAAGAAAAGATGTGAGCCGATTAATATTAATGGAAAACAAATTCCTCCCAAGGTGCCCAATATTGAAAGGAACTTTAGACAGCCACAACCTAAATCATACTTTTGCCATTATGAACTGGCTGAGGCCCTTCCACAAGGAAAGATGAATGAGGCATCAACTGAGTGGCTACGGTATAATTCAGGAATCCTTAACACACAACCACCATTACCATTCAAAGAAGCACATGTCAGTGGTCATACCTTTGTAACAACTGAGCAAATTCTCGCTCCATTAGCTTTACCAGAACAAGCATTATTAATCCCACTAGAAAACCATGACAAATTCAAAGATCTACCATGTGAGGCATACCAGCACATCATACAGCCGAACATGCTGGTCAACAAGGTCAAATTTACCTTTCCTCCAGCTGTCCTCCCACCCCCTAGCACACCTCTGCAGCCTTTGCCTTTGCAGCAGCCCTTATGTTCTACCTCTGTAACCACTATCCACCACACTGTTTTGCAGCAGCATGCGGCAGCCGCTGCAGCAGCAGCAGCCGCCGCAGCCGCAGGGACATTTAAAGTACTTCAACCACAGCAACAGTTTCTTTCCCAAGTCCCAGCTCTATCCAGAACATCGTTACCTCAGATCTCAGTAGGACCTAGGCTTTGTCCTGGGAACCACCCGACTTTTGTGGCTCCTCCTCAGATGCCAATCATTCCAGCTTCGGTTCTCCATCCTAGTCATCTGGCTTTCCCACCTTTACCCCATGCACTCTTTCCTTCATTGCTTTCCCCGCACCCTACTGTCATCCCTCTGCAACCTCTCTTCTAGTCATCACCATAAAGGGGACAGGAAATATCCCTGTGTAAACTATTGCTATATGCATAAGTGCTCATCTAAGCGGATAAATGGCTCTTTAAATGGTGAAAATAAACTGGTCCAAATATGGCCACATTGATTTTAAATCATTTACTGTAATGTAATGATGCAAATATAGTCTTAAGTTTCTGATATATATTATAAAAGCACTGACTAGTTTGAAAATCAATACAATATATGCTGTATATTAAAATGTCTTAAGGGTATGTAAAATGTACATAAAATATATTTATAGTACGGTAATTTATGTTGTAAAGTATGCTCTTTGGTTTTTTTAATCTTTGTGTATTTGCACCTATTTAATGTTTAGACAAAGCTGATGGCACTATGTTTTGTACCACGTTCCTTGAAACTGTAAATTCGGTGAAAAAATTCTCTTGCAATAAATTTTTGTTAACTATTTAAGTAAATCAAACTTTTGTTTTTAGTTGGATTTTCACTGTCTTAGGAATGTTTAGTAACAGTAGATTTTAGATTTATGTTGGCTCTTCTGTCCAATGGACCTCTGAACCTCAGAAGCCCTGGAAAATATCTTTGGAGCTCTATTACTACTTAAACTGTGATGCCATCTTCTTATAATATGATGTCATGTGTATAACAGGTCTATTTGTTGTTTTGTCTGAACTACTGTTGCTTATACTCAGAGTTCACTATATTTCCTGAACAATATTTGGGGGAAAATAATTCAAAAACATGCAGAGTACTTAGAATTCTTCCAGGAATTGTAAAACAGCACTAGTAGACAAAAAATGGCAAATAATCAATACAACCATTTAGAACACTTTTGTATGTAAAAATTCTGAAACTTTTTATCTTTATTTTTAGTTATTGTAGGAAATATGCATCTATAAGAAGGTTGCCATAAATTGAGGAATGGTCTTAATTTTAATAAGTCATTATTCCTTATATAACTCATAATGGAAGATCTGAAAGTGGGATGGAGAGTAAATAAACCCCTCTTCCTTTGATATGGTGGTATCATATCGCCAAATCACCCAGGAACAATTAGAAAGTTCCACATCACTCTTCCAGATTCTTCATTCATCATGAATAACCTCTGCACTATTGTTCATTCAAATGCATCTATGTGGGCTGAAAAATGGAATTACTCAATGGAAAACTAAGGCACATTACACTTTTACCAAGGAAGTTTTCTAATATGTACCTGTCCCAGTCCATGGCATTTGGCAAGGCAAAGTCTTCATGCCTGCTAAAGAGGATTTACCTCTTCATGTGCAAATCATAAAGAGAAGATTATGGCAGCTTGTCAATGAGTCCAGTTTATCAGACAGCCCTACTGAGTTCTTCTAAAGGGAAAGCAACTTTTAAGTGATGCTGTATCGTGGAAACACTATTTCCCTGGTTGTCATGTTGTTGTTGTTAGTAGCTGTCAAGTTGGCTCTGATTCATGGCGACCCCATTAACAATTCACTTTCTCCTCACTTATCGACTATATCATTATCTGACATTTCGCATTTACGACAATAGTAAAAAATCTACTATTCAACTATTTTGTGCATTAACCAAGTATGTCTGTTAGTAACAAACACAGAGGTGTGAGGAAAGAGTACACTAGATATGATGGTTAAGGTTATGTGTCAACTCGACTGGGCCATGAATTTCAGTGGTTTGGCAGTTATATAATGATGTACTTTGGCAGTTATGTAATGATGTAGTCATCCTCCATTTTCACATAACCCTGAATTTACATAACAACTTGGCCTTTGAAACCTTATTGTTGTTGTTAGGTGCCATCGAGTTGGTTCCAACTGATAGTGGCCCTATGTACAACAGAATGGAACACTGCCCGGTCCTGCACCATCCTCACAATCGTTGTTATGCTTGAGCCCGTTGTTGCAGCCACTGTGTCAAGCCATCTCCTTGAGGGTCTTCCTCTTTTTCGCTGACCCTCTACTTTACCAAGCATGACGTTCTCCAGGGACTGGGCCTTCCTTATAACTTGTCCAGGTATGTAAGATGAAGTGTTGCCATCACCCCTTCTAAGGAAATTCTGTATGTACTTCTTCCAAGAGAGATTTGTTCTTTCTTTTGGTAGTCCATATGTTATCCATAATTTAGAAGCTAACCATGTCGATAAGTGAGAGAAGTTACAGAACGAAATGTTGCCCAGTCCTGAACTGAATTACCCTCAGTGATGTTGAACATAAATATATTTTCCCATATCAGAATAATCTATATTGAACTATACTATAAGTAGAGAAATAAAGGGAAAATCTGGGTCATTTACTTTCATGATTGTCATAGTAACCATTGATTTAAATGTTAGATAAATGTTGGTGAATAACTGAGTATACCATTTCATGACTGACAAATAAAAAGATAAAAATAGTAAGAAAAGCAATCCCATTTCAAATACTGTAAGATACTAAAAAAATGGTAAATAAAAAAAAATGGTAAATAAAATTGGACAGGATAATTTTTTTCTCCCCCATGTAAAATATTTGAAACTACCTTTGAAGAGAAAATAGATAGTGATAACTCCTGGGGAATGCTGACCCAGTTTGTTTTTTAATTTGTCCAAGCAGGATTGTTGCTTTGCTATTAAAGATCAACCCAAGTGCTTGACTTTAAAATATGCACATTTTCCTTCTTCTTTTCATCTTTTTCTGACCATCACCCTACTTACTGACCTCTTACCTCTTGTACTTATCCTTTAATTAAATTTACCTGATCTTTTCCCTTCTTAATTTCATTGAGGACATTTTCTTTCTTTGTGTCTTTCTCTTCTTCTCTCTACACATTATCATTGCCCTCACCCATCCCAGGGGGGAAGTTGTCTTTTTTTTAAATTCCATTGCTCTCTACATTTCTTTTTGTTGAAGTTATGCTTAATAGACATGCTTAACTTCTTACTTCAAGCACATTATAGCTCATTTCTAGGTGTCTCATAGGAATTCCTGAACATTTTTAGGAGGAAAGCTCTCAGTTAAGATTAGTTGAAACTTAGATGAACACAGAGGAATTGGTTGGTTCTCATGTACGTCAGTGGCTGGACAAGAAAGTTGAGCTTTATTCGAGCACTGTCAAAGACTTTCTGATTATCAACAATTCATCTAGATATTTGAGTGTATATATGGTGTGGGCATCCATTTGTGTCGGGTAATCAAAATGAAGTAATGGTGAGACAATTACTCATCTATTCTGATAAGACAACCCCATAATCTAGGTAATCAAGCTGGTGGGCAGAGGAATCAGACAGGTAATTTAGGGTGGACACCAACTTTACAGGCATATCAAACAATGGGGTGTTGTAGGACCATTAATCAAGAACATACTAATGGTAGTGAGAGTCAGGTTAAGGGGGAAGTAAAGGTTTGGGTGAGGAGCCATGGCTGAAATCCCAGACCTAGCCAGGGGTAAATTATTGTGCAGCCTGTATACTCGGAAAATTTAAAAGATGCTAACACTATCTCTTGCCTACAATCTCCAGTCTGCTAGCTACAGGCATTGATATAGTATTTCTTATTATAATGATGAGTGATAGAAATATAGCATGAAACATGAAAAGTAAATGTAGCCAAGTAACAAAAGTTTTTATATTGAATGGTAGGAAGGAAGCTCATCCAAAACTTCAACTACCATCTATATGCAAGACTTCCAAATGTCTTCCCCCCTCTCTCTCTAAATCCAAATTCTCTTTTGAGCTGAAGACCTATATCAAACTGTCGATATCTATCAAATATTTTAAATTTAGTAAGTTCAAAACAAAATTTATCATCTTACTCTATAGATACTACTAAAATCTATTCCTCAGTGTTGCTCAGCTCTTGCAATGCCACTATAATAAAACCTGTTATTCAAGTCAGAAACCAGGGTATCATTCCCCCCCATCAAATCAATCAACAAGCCAGTTTGTCTCAGTTTCCTTAAATTTTTCTTAAATCTTATTCCATTTTTCCCCCTGTACTGTATATAGTTCTAACCCTAATAGTCCATTAAGTTGAATTGCTGACATGGTCTCCAAACTTGTCTCATCTGCCCAACCTCCCATTTAGTAATAATTCCAATAATCCATTCTTTCTCCTGTTGCCAGAACTAAATTTTTAAAAAGCAATATTATTATGATACTCCTATACTTTAAAACTTACTGTAGTTCTCATTATTCTCAGGATAGACATCAAACTCTTTAGCATGCCACAGTAAATCTGTGGTGACCTGTTGCTACACTCCGTATTCAGAATCATCTATCCAGCACAGTTTTAATCATGTTTGAGCTTTTATGAACATATTCTGTAATCCTGGAATGCCTTCCTCCATATCCTCCCAGCCCAACTCATCCCCTTTTTTTTTCCTCACTTAGAAAACCAGTTACAAGTCAAACTTCAACTTGAATGTCAGTCTCATTTAGGAATTTTCATCAGATTCTCTGCCTCAGATGGATTAACTTCCCTTCCTTCACATGGTATCCTGTGCACAAATTTTGTTAAAAAGTATTTTTGGTGTTGAAAGCATGGGTTCGTTTGCCAGATTCATAGATTAAGAGCTCCTTGACTCAATGTAGTATGTGACACATACTACATAGTAAACAATAAAAGTTGGTTGATTGAGGGAATAAAATGAGTCAAAACTATGATTAAAATCTGTGTAATGTGTATTACAACGTTCCAGAACTATTATCCATTTTATTGAGTGGTCTTAAATCAGTTTAAATAAAATGATACTTTTCACAAAAATTAAGATTTCAAAACATTGTTTAACATGAAGAGTTTATTTTTTAATGGAGTTTATGGATCATTTAAATAAAACACCATTGCCAAAAATCAAAGCATAACCTGCTCCACGAGGAAGAAAGACTCAAATTTCATCCTGTCTCTCTCCGTCCCTCCCACCCTCCCTTCCTTCCTTCTTTTTTCCTATGTTCTTCTTTTCTTCTTATCTATCATCTAGCTAGCTAGCTATCATTACCTGCCATCAAACATTAATATATTACGTGTCAGACACCAAGCTAGATTCTGAAGACAGAAAAATGAATAAAACACACCTGCTTTTCAGACACTCAGATCTAGTAAGGAAAGCAGCATGCAAAATCTTTTATTTAGAAACAAAATGTTTACTACTTCTTTATTAAACAATTGAAAAAGACTGAATTTATATTCACCAGTGCCTTTTTTCCACTGTCCTGTATTCTGCATTCCTCATCTTTGAGTCTGCTTTTTCTTTCCTCTACTTATTTGCCTAGTTAAGCCATTGTCACTTGTGTGTCCTTGGGAGAGACAGTTGCTACCAGGGATGCTTCCCTACAAGCTGTTTACCATCTTTCCCAAATACAAATTGCTAAAGGTTTAAGGCATACTTAAATCATGAATTGAGGCCCAAGGTCCCTCTTTAAAGCAGCAGTGTAAGTTGTGTAGTTTGTCCAAAATGTTAAGTATATCTGGTATCTAGTTCA